ACTAATTATGTGTTTTTGGATATCTTTGTGAAGTTGTTTCTTTTCTTGTGTTGGAATATATATTTGTAGAAGACGTATTGCTAGATTTTTAAAGTGAAGGTCTAGGCCAATAATGTGGTTCTTGTAATTGTGTAAGTGGGCTATATATTTTGCAAAACTGTGATGAATAAAAATGCCAATACCTGCTTGGTGTGGTAATAAGTAAAAACTCCAAAAACTGGTGTAGTTTGGTATTTGATTGTTGAAAAATTTTCCTTCTTTGATTAAACAGTGTGTTTCAGATAGGTCTAAAATTTTGAAAAAATTATTACTAAGGATTTCCAAGATTGAAAATTTTTTGTTAGGTTGAGTAAAACCACTGATATTTAAAGAGGTGATTTTTATAAGGATTGAGGCATATTCTGGAATAGAGAGAGGATTTGATAGAAAGTAATCTGAAGATTGATTTAGAGAAAATTCACAGATTTGTAATGATAGTATATTTGTGAATATTGAATAATTAGATTTAAGAGAGATATTTTGAAAATTGGAGAGGTTTTTAAAAGAAATTAATGAGTAATTAGATATAAGAGAGGTTTCAAGTAGTAAGTATATATAGGCTTTTTCTGGATCTTGTTTAGTTTTTGTTTGAACAGAAATTTTTATATATTGTTTAGAAAGAAATTCTGGGTAGTTTAATTTAATAAATTGTATAAAAAAGGTAAGTGTTTGAGAAGAGGATAAAAGTTGAAGTCTGTAGTAGGATAAAAATTTGTTATAGCATGTAGTAAAATCATAAAGATCAAGTAAACTAGAAGGAGAGGATTATTAGGTTTGCCTAACTAGTTTATAAGACTCAGTTGGTGACCGGGTTCGAGTTTCTAATTTTTTGCTAATTCTTAGATCTCAATGTTATTAGTTTATAAGACCCGGTTGGTGACCGGATTCGAGTTTCTAATTTTTTGCTAATTCTTAGACCTTAATGTTATTAACTCTTGGGGCTAAATGTTATTAACTTTTAGGCCTCAATGTTATTAGCTCTTAAGACCCAGTCCTTGACCAGGTTTGAGTTTTTAATTTTTGCTAATTCTTAGATCTTAACTTTATTAGTTTTTAGGACCCAGTAATTGCTAAAATTTGAGTTTTTAATGTTCTGCTAATTTTTAGATATCAATATTATAGTATTAGCTCTTAAGACTCGGTCTTTAACCAGGTTTGAGTTTCTAATTTTTTGCTAATTCTTAGGCCTTAATATTATTAATTCTTAGACCTTAATGTTATTAGATCTTAGGACCCAGTTATTGCTCAGGTTTGAGATTCTAATATTTTGCTAATTCTTGGCTTTAAATTATATTAGCTCTTAAAATTCAGTCATTGTCTGAATTTGAGTTTCTAACTTTTTGCTAATTTTTAGGCTCAATGTTATTAACTCTTAGGTTTTAACATTATTAGCTTTTATAACCCAGTTATTGCCCAATTTTATAATTCTAATTTTTTACTAATTTTTTAACCTTAATAAAATTCAAACTAAACTTTTGAACTCTTTCCAACGATCACTTGAACCAAATTTTACTGAAAAAACTTTTCAACAAAAACAGTAGAAACTGACTAGCTAGAGTAAATAAGACATGTAATGAGGGACTGTAAGTCAGCACCTGTCGTTTGAGATAGTTCTCATATGCTATCTGCTAACAGGCTTAGAGTTTATCATTTACTGCAAACCTGGCACTTGTTGTTTAGAGATAGTTCTTATACGCTATCTGCCAACAAGTTCAGAGTTTATCACTCACCTACAAAAATATGAGTAGCGCGGTTTTGGCTAGGAAGAAAACTATTTCTGTTGTTTTTAGTAACTCACTTTCCTTTAAGTGGTATCAAGAGGTTTTTCTCTCTTTGTTGTTTTGTACTGGTCCTACCAAAATTTTTCAATAAAAAGTGGGCATTTTGGCTTACCTCCTCCAAAAGATCGGCATTGTTTATACCTACCAAATCAGGACGAACTCAGTAAAAGACAACCATGTGTTTTGTTGTTTTGCGAATACGGTGCTACAGTACAGAGAAAAGATCTACACCCCCGTTTAGGAGATACCCAAGTTGAGTTGGTGCTCAGTACGAGTCCCAAAGCTAAACCGAAGGTTTACAATCGAGATATAGTAATTAGTTGTAATTATTATATAATTTTTACCCTTATGTCTGGCACGAGCTATAATAGTGTGTCATGGCTATCTTTTTTTTTTTTTTGCTTTTTTCATCTTTGTTCATTTATGTTAGACTATTTTAGAATTGTTGAAAAGTTTTTTTTTCCCACTGTGAGGTGTTTTTTTTTTCTAAAATGTTTATGTCTCTCATAAACATGGCTTTATTTTATGTACGAGTAAGGGTTTTAATTATATTGTCAGGCTTAGGTGGAAGAAGTCTGAAAGAAGAAAGAGGTGGTTATGATAAGTGGCAAGGTCCACTGTTGAGAGCTGGATTATATCCAATTGCAGGAGGGTCCGAAGGAGAGAAATCTTGCTATAGCAGGTCGAACATAGATACCAAGTTGGTAATCAGGTTAGTCTTAACTTGTAATTTAAACAACAATGCAGGCTACGGCACTTGTCATTTAGAGATAGTTTTTATATGCTATCTGCTAACAAGTTTAGAGTTTATCACTTACCTTTTGAAATGCCTAGTTGTAAAATTTTACATATTCTAGAGGAATTGTACAAAGCCTAATAAAGCTAAGGCATGACTGCCGAATTATAAAAAAAAAAAACTATACAGTTATTATTTTAATTAATTTTGTATAACAATAAAAACTAGTCAAACATAAAAATCTAATTTTTTACTTAAACTTAATTATTTTAAAAACTGTAGTATAAATCTTTTAAACTTTTTTTATTTAAAAGATATAGATTTTAAGAATTAATAATTTAATTTTTAGCCTAATCTTAAATATCTAGCTCTGTGTAAATTTTTAAAAAGTGTTCACAATAATATTATTCAAAATCCCATTTGTTTGAGTTTGTTCATGAAAAAATCCTACATTTGTGCGATATATATAGGTACACAATTAGATAAAAGCTTTTTCTTGTTTTGAAATTTAGAGAAAATAGTACAAAAAGATAATTTTTATAATAAGGTTATTTTGAGCTTATCTAATTTTTATAATGAGGTTATTTTAATAACTAATCTAATTTTGTAAATAAGATAATATAATAAAATTTTTTATTATTTAGTTTATTTAAACACTATTCACTTTATTATAATATATTATACTGAATAGTTAAAAGAATTGGGGTTAGGGTCTCATAGCCTAGTAGTCTAGGTGCCTAACCCTCCACAGATGAAATTGATAGTTCAATTATAGCTAGTGGTGATGAAATTGATAGTTCAATTATAGCTAGTGGTAATTAATTTAATTAATTATTTTTGTAACCTTTGGAAGCTTTCAAATGCAAAACTCTATGGTGGTAAGATTATGTAATATACATATTTGGCCTATAAAGAATTCTTGGAAGAAGCCCTAAGCCATGGAGAAGACTGGGCATTGTGTATAACATGGGTCACAGAAAGGTTTACTACAGAAGGCTATGTATGTGAATCCATAATTGGCAAGATAGTACCAACAACCCTAAGATGGCATTGAGATCTTGATTGGGAGGATAGCTATATGCAGTATATTCAGAAGTAGTGAGAGAAACAGTAAATATAGTAAGAAGCTGTGGTAAGAGGATGGCTTTACCAAATATAAAACACTCCTGGCACAAAGAAACAAGAAAAACTAGCTAAAAGAAACCCTAAAAAGCATAGAAGCAAGCAATCTAGTAGGCTCTCAAATTATTCTAAAAAAGGTGGTATTATTAAACCAGACTTTTTTAGGCCACGTGATGCTAAATTCTGGTCAAAACAAAAATTTAATTTTTGTTTTGAACAAAAATTAGCATTACATAGCCCAAAAAAATGTCTGGTTTAATAATACTATCTTTTTTTAGAATAATTCGGGATCCTAATCTGGTAGTACAAAAATAAAGATAACTAGTAAGTAATATATCACACAACCTATATAGAAGTCTATGATAAAATATGTAAAAGTGTGGGTCTCAGGTCACTGGCTTGTGATAGTGATTAAATGAAGTACATAACTTCTATCCTAAGGATCTAGACTTCTGTAATACTATACTAATAGGGAATACTATAAAAGGATCAGTAGCCTAATTTAGTGGTGTACAACACAAATACCTGAATTGATGTGAAATAACATTCTAGTTTGACAACAGGTAACTGTTTGAAATACGGCTAGACTCTTAAAGTAACTTCTCTAAGGACACCAAACTGGAAGTATGAAAAGCATCTACTCAAAGAACACCAATTTGGAAGTAATACAAGTACCGAATTAGGAGTAATGTGATAAGTGATGAGGGAATAAAGCTGATTGGTGGACGTTGTACAGTAGTATATAAGCAAGATATATATAATAATATAGGTTTGGAAACCATCTGGTGATTTAGTAATTAGTTTGGTTGCAGGGTGGTTATTAAGAAGGCAAAATCTCATATATCAGGTCGCACATAGATACTAATTTAGTAACTAGGTGAGCTGATACTCATAATATATATTAGAGAGTTGTAATTGTACATGTAATATTTATAACCAAAATACCCTAGCATTAATCTAATAAATGGTATTGGCAAGACTGCCAAATTAAAAAAATAAAAATATTAAAAGAATTTAAAAAAAGCAAAAAATACATGTTAATTCTTCTAACATTGCTTCGAAAATGTTATGTGCAAAAAAAACTTGTTGAACTAGGTTTTGAATACATATTGCCAAACCGAAGTGTTTAAAAAAAATTTTAATAACTGGATAAGTAGTAATGAATAAATAGATAATATTATAAAATTTACAACTTTATGCTGAATATGATGGGCAAAGCTATGGAATGGGTTCTGTTTACTGAATTTACAAATATAGAAAAATAAAAGATAGTAGATTTGGCTCTGTATATAAAGCAAAAAGAAAAAATGGTGGTTGTATTTTCACTAACCAAAAATATATACTTCCCAATAAAGTTTGCTATACATGACATTTGACAATATAAAAAAAAAAAATTATATATGTTTGGGGTCTGAATTTGAGTATGTATTTAGAGAAAATATACACTTATAAAGGTTTTACTATAGCTATTAACAAAGTTGGTTTATACTATAAAAAATTATTAACAAATAACTATTAGTGAAATAGTGTCAAATATACCTTTCACTTATCACCTTACGTTGTTTTCTGAGAGTCAAATGTTTGACATCAAGCTGGCGATGTATTATATCAGTTGCAATTTTTTAATTGTCATTGCAAAAAGATAATACCGCAACAATTTGGGTTATAACCGTTCTTGCACGGAGTTTGAAATCGGTTTTAACATATAAAAGGAAACCGGTTCCAAACTCTATTTGCGCAGTGATATTTATTCGAATATCGATATTTGCAAAAATTAATTTTAATTACTATATTCAATTAATACATTACTATATATATATTTTTTAACTTTTTGTCTTGCCAAATTTTACAAATACGTATTGTATACACGTATATAAAAATTTGAAAAAAATTCAATACTATTACATAAATAATGTTTGAATTGGGTTAACGTTAATAGTAAAAGTACAATTTTTATATTTGATTAACCAATTTATTTTGATTTGACGATTTTTTTTTAACGTCAAGAAATTTTTTTTTTGATAATATGATACAATAGCACTGAATATTACTATAAAGATACTTTATAAGTCTATAAAAACAAAAAATATCACGAAAATGTAAACTATTATCTCCCAAGATAGTAAAAAGCACTTTAATGATAAAAATATAACTACCTATCATTTACTACAGTATCATCAATACACCATAACTTTTAAGAATGTTCAATACCATAAACTAGTATAAATTATATATATTATATCGAAGTCCGTACATAGAATAGATTATACGCAGCACGAGTCTTTAAATGCAAGATGAGAAAAAATAATTGAATAAACATCAAAATATTAATGCGTGATAAAAAAACAAATATATATATATAAATATATTTATTTTTGATAATACATACCACAATATCTTGTTCTTCACATATAGATGCACGACTATCATCAAAATTATGCCATTCATTTCTATAACCATTCCGTACGCAAGCAGTATAATGACCACCATTTAAACCACCATAATGATTTGAAATAGCATATAAATCATAAATAAAAGGACCCATTTGATTTAAATCAGAAGGACGTGAACCTCTATCATTAGATTGATATGGTATAAATGGAGTTAAATCTAAACGTCTAATTGGAAAATTTACCATTGTTTCAAGTTTATCTCTAAAAGGACCATAAAAAGAAAATCTTTTAAGATGAATTAATAAAATATCAGGTAATCTTGAAATTGAAAGTTGTTTTGTAGCACGTCTAGGACAATTACATCTAGGGCAATTCCAAGCATCATTTCCATCTAATATTTCTTCTTTTATAAAATTTTTAAGACACATTTCTAAATCTATACGAGTATTATTTTTAATATTGGTAGGTAAAGGTAATGAAAGGTACATAAATACGTCAAAGGAAGTAGAAGTCTTTCCACAAGTCATACACATTAATCGATTACAAAATTGACCTTGAAATAAACTGACAACAATGGAAGAATTACGCATTAAATGTTTTTCCCAAGCTAATTCAGAAGCTAAATTTAGTGGCAAGTTATCATCATCATTTTGATCATTTTGATAATTAATTTGATCATTTTGATAATTAATTTGAGAATTGTGATAATTTATATTTAAATCTTCATGCAAACCATCTAATAAATAAGCCAAAAATTCTTGAGAATCTTGTTGTTCGGATCCAGAGAATTGAGGAGCAAAACATCCAATGGCTTCTTTAAAAGTTACAGGAGAAATAGATACATATTGATCATCCCACATTACTCTTATTAAAGTAGCGAATTTATCAGCTAGTTCACCTTTAGTACCTAAAGGGTTATCTCTATTTATATGTCTTTTGTAACTACCATCCAAAAAGTACCTTGCAAATGGTAAAGTGCCACTTAAACATTGAAGAATAGAATTCATAAAACAAGTATTGCCTAGATTCCTTAATCCAGTAGTACCAATACCGGAACCCAATTGAGAAAAGCTACTCTCAGAAGCATGGGAATATTCAGGACGTTTCACACTCATTTTAGGAGTAACAGATTGTAAAGTTTGTGGTACCAAAGGTATCTGCGGTAAAGGTTTTTTCGGAGGGGGAGGGGGAGGCCGTTTTTTTACTGAATGATAATCAGGGTTTTTTACTTCACTAAATCCATGATATGGATGATCAAATATGGTTCTACGACGTTGTAAACGACTACCAGATTGACTAACAGAAGAATCATTAGACAAATTAGCAATTGGTCTTGGAAGTGGTTTATTTGGAGCAGCCACTTTTGGTTTCGACATTAATATATTATCTGTTAAATCATCGGATGATGTACTGCTGTCTATTGGACTGGTTACCGCTGTAAACTGCATTGATGAATCACTCGGTTGCTGATACTAATAAAAATAAAAAAAAAATATATTAATTATCATATAATTCAATAGAGAAATTCATTTTTATAAAAAATTAATGTCTCGACTGAAGCTGGAAATTAGGGACTTTGATTTAAAAATAAAAACCCTACCAAAATCTACTTATACTTAAAACTACCACTAAATTCTAACCTAACCCTAAAAAAAACCCCAAAAAATTTTTGAAAATTTCATATTAAAATAATTAAAATTTCCAGCATCAGCCGCGACAATTAAGATAATTACAAAATCTAAAGTGGATAGTATAACAGATGCACGATTGGGATTAATAGTAAGAATTTTCCCATTTCTTTTAACACGATCACGATTTCGAGAAAGCGGCCTTAAAAATTGAAAACGTAACATATCGATAAGTAATAGTAATAACTATGAATGTAATAAATTAAATTAAATATATTCTTTGTACTGTGAATAAATATATTTTGGTAGTTTAATATTAAGTAAAAAGTTTGTTTTCGATACCCTATTGGTATTCTCTCGTATGTACTAAATCATTCATATCTGATATTAAATCACCAAAGTATATACACCAAAGAATATATTTTTCAATGTAAATAAACGTTCTATACACCTGGAAGATTTTATCCCAGAAATTTCTTTAACATAATCATTTTGTGTTGAATTATAATTCGTATTATGCGTAATGAAGTTAGCCATCTCAGCATTATTGTAAATAGCAGATCGATTTATTTGAGAGTTGTTGTTATAAACATTGCGTTCAACACCAGCTTCGCCTATTGATTGTTCCCATGCAACAAAACCTCCAACCAAGAATACAGGATATCTTTTTAATGGTTTCTGAAATTCATTTTCAAAAATTGCTTGAACTAAATTAGTGGAAGAATTTTTAGTCATTATTTCAGAATCGTGACCATAATATACAACTAAATCAAAAGTGTGTCGTTCGGCAAAAAGTTTCTGCTCATGCTCAGGATAAGTTTTTAAGTTTGATTCAAGTGTTACCGAAGATATCCTAATTTGATATAAAAATGTTTATTGATTTATCGATAAAAAAAAATAAATAAATAAAATAAATAAATATGAAACGTCGAATTTGAAACTTTTTAACTTACCCATTCTCTAAAAGGTATGGTTCCAAACATACAATATTTTTGGTTTTTATATGACCCATTTCAAATATACTTCTTAATCTAATATCTAGCAACAATATATTAGGAGGGTTATTGGTCTCATTTAATAGATCATGCAATGTACTAGCATCTATTCTATCAGTAATAGGTAAATTTTCCAACAGGGACGAATTTCTTTGAGCAAAAGTTAATAATTGATTAGGATTATCGGGAGCAATTAACGTATTAGGTAATGAAGTTTGATGCGTTGAAGTAAAGTTAGATGTTGGTAAAGTTGACAACCCTAAATTCTGAGTAGTAGATGCTTGCAAAGAAGGAGCTACAATGTTAAACTTTGTTTTTTTACTATTTACATTATTTTTTTTAGGGGTTTCACTAAGTCCTTTATCTTTAAGAATTTTTATTCTCTCAGCTATGGACAAAGGAGCAGGAGTAGTTTCAGGATTATCTGAATCAGATGAAGTAGACATAATTATTATATCTTTGTTTGAAAAAGCAGACGAAAGAAGTAATTTTTAAATAAATAATTTTTTTTTTTATATATTTTACCCGTAAATCCCAAGTCAGCAATGTAACACAACAATGCCGAGTAACAACAAATGAACAGCCCCGCCAGGGGTCTAGACACTTTTGCAGTAACGTGACGTGGCGCATAGAAAATGACCAATCGGAATTCGAAAATTTCGATCGTCCCGGATCAGTCCGACGTCAAAACAAAACACGTGTGCAAGAAAAAAAAGAGAAAAAAGCAAAAATACTCAAAAACTGGTGTTTAAATCGGCCTTTAAGCACTAACAAAAAGTGTCGGAAATGCAATTTTACATATAATATATAAAGCTAAAAACCCTAACACGAACCCGAACCCAAACCCTAAACTAAAGCAAAAAATTACGCCACACCACGTGACGGTCACGTTACTGCAAAAGTGTCTAGACCCCTGGAGGGGCCCAAATGAACGATTGGCGTATAATACTGTTAAATCTGTAAATTCTTAAATTTGCTTTATGCTTATAAATTATATTACAATAACTAAATAAAGTAATTAATGTAATAATTGTAAAACTGTATGATGACATTCTTTCCGAAACAAAAAAAGAACGATACCATAAATGATACATGCGTAACGCTAAAAAAAAAATGATTTACACAGTATATAATAAAAAGCATATAAAAAAAAAAACGCTCATTCTATTAATTACAGAATTAGCTTATGCTGTATTGGTATAGAAACAATGAATGTTGCACGAAAACTTAAACGATACGTTGGTTTGTTTTAAAAAAAATACAATATCGATCAATTTTTGTCATTTTTGTATATAATACATTAATATGCAGTACATTCTATGGATTTAATATTTTCTAAAACGTGCAATTAAATTACCTTCGAGTATAATTTATTGTCTAAAGGTTGCATGGTTATACTGTAAGTATGACATTATAATTAGTACATTATAATTAGTAAATTGTCTATACTAATTATCTAATACTTAAGCCAATTTTTACTGTATTTAGTTACATACTGGACATGTTCGGAGCTTGTTGCACAAAAAAAGAAATACCAACGTTAAAAATAAAAATTCAAAATTTTGACAACTTTGACTTAAAAAATCTAATTCTACATATTATACATACGTTATAAACTTTAAAGAGTGCTTAAACATTCTTGGGCTTATCTTGGATACCAAAAATGTACAATACTAATCGGAATACTGCGTGAGGTGGAGACCGAGATTCTTATGTCTGAGAATCAACTCTTAATTTGATAATCATTATAAAAATAGAGGACAAAGATCAATTAAATTTATTTATAAAAAATGAGGTCGTGCCAAGAATAAAACCTTGAATTTTGCGTTTTTTAAGATCCCGAGCTACTCTTGGCATTACCAAGCAAATATTTATTTACGCTTATATTGTAAGGCTCTAAAGGTGTTCTACACCGCTCTCTTCGATATACTCTTATTTGCATATGATTTCGGTAAAAATGATAATGGATTTGTAAAACGTTCATGATGTTAAATTGACAAATTTTAAATTATTTTATTAGATTTCTATTCTATGCAGATACATAGACTATTTATTAGAGGGTTTCAGACCTAAGGTTCAGGTTTCTGATTTCGAATTTAATTATTGACGTATTAATTTGTAATCAGTGATATATAAATCCTATTTATTTTATATACCATCAAAAAAAGTTATTTTATCTCCAGATAACTCTTTTTTCATTTTCTGATTTCGAAATTTCAAACCAAAATTAGGATTTTTTAAACTCCCACTTATTTTCAAAATAATTTAACACTGAAACTCCCCATCAGAGAACCAAATTGTTAATATACTAGAAAACCAGAATCCATTGATCTAGAGCATTGCTTAATATTTATTTCCGAGTTTAATACATAACTTTTAATTACTCGTGTGCTGCAAAATGAATATGGAACATCTGTAGATTCTGAATCTTAAATAACTTATTTAAACTAAACTTTATTATATTTAATTATATTTTAATGATAAAAATAAAAAAATATTTCTTTTTTTTTTTTAATAAGTATATTCTTTATTATGTGGACGATTAATAAATTATACGATACCCATTTTCATATAATAATAAATTATACCATTTATATTTATTTTCACTTTTACTTTGCAACTAAATTTAATGCCAGTTAGCAATGGATCTATGTTGCTTCATACAGTATTCATATTCAATTAATTCCAGTAGCATACGTACGTACGTATCATTTTTTTATAATTTGTGATTTCGGGTGATTTTTTTAGATAACTTGTTACACAAGAATTCGTTGAAGTAATAAATGAATCACTTATTGCACTCTAAAAACTTTTCTAGTCACAACCAAACCAATTAAAACCGCTGTACTAAGCTTATTAGGATAGGCCGGTCATTAACTATTTGATTAAAGACTACTACTGTATTAGGAGTGATTTCAGAAGTAAATTTAAATAATAGTTTTTATAACTATTATCTATGAATTATAAGTCTTGTGCCTGCTAAACTTCCCTAATATACTCTTAAAAATTTAAAGTGAAAATATTTGAATTTAAGAAAAGAAATCGGTTTGTCATATTCAGGTTTGTTTTCATCTTTATATAACTACCGATATACATTTTGTTAACAAAATTGGTTAATGGAATTTTTAGTTATCTAATAAAAATAACTATTAGAATGCTTATAAATAACTTAAATCACATATGTCATTACAGTATTAAAATACATTACCCCGATGGAACCCGACCTTTTATATTTAATTTCTTTAAGCAGCGTTGAAAGGTCTTTTATTAGCGTAGCAAATTCGTTAGATTTGCATTAAACTCATTCTTCGTTTAATTGCAATGCCAACAACTTTGAATTTTCAGTTTTTCCAAGGCTTTTTCCTTTAATTCCGTAAACATTTGAACATATGAATTAATTTAAGGAATTAGCTGTTTCACTTCATGTCAGTTAATAAAAATAAAATTATATTCTTACCTTTCTTTGGTTATTTTAGAAAACATTTTATCAGTGTTCGGAGATCAAAATATTTTATCTTTTGCATCGTCCTAATAAGGCTACGTACCTCCATATTTTTTATTTCTGAATTTATCGCGCTGATGCATAAGAAGATACGGAAGATATGTATTAAACGGAAACTGTTGATTCTGTTATTTGATATTGTAGAAGTAGTAGAATTCCATTGCGCATTAATATGTAGATCTCATATCTCCGGCCAGACTGTTGACTTACAGTCCTTACCTAATTGATAAAAATCTTTGATTTTTATCATATAGATTTTCAGGCTGATGATCGTCAATATCCAAGGTTCCCGAAAGAATTAGTCACATATTTAGAGCATGGTTAAAAATCCATTGATTGGTTGATTAAATCGTGATGTGCATGTGATATTTGCATGATATGAGCTAATATT